CCCCAAACCCTAAACCCCGAACCTTAGATCCTCAACTCGGCAACCCTGAACTCGGAGCCTTAAATCCTACGTCGACGCTGGACCCAGCACTCTGAACCCTTCAACGGCTAAGCCCCACTAGTAAGGGTTGGGGTTTAGCGTACACGGTTTNNTTGGGGTATAGGGCTTGGGGTTTGGGGTTTGGGGTTTAGTTTAGGGTTTAGGGTTTAGGGTTTAGGGTTTAGGGTTTAGGGTTAAGGGTTTACGGTTTAGGGTTTAGGGTTTATGGTTTAGGGTTTCGGTTGTTAAAGTTCCGGGTACAATGGCTTTCACCTAGGAAGCCCTACGTTCCCACAGTCCAAGATGACTGCGTCTGGATCTTCCAACGGGTACGGAGGCCCAACAAGCCACTCAGGAATCAGAAGACACGGGTAAGGAATCGGGTTTAGGGCTTAGGGTTTAGAGGAGGTACTAAAAGCATACTGCGTACTGTCGCCGGTCATCACGACCATCCTCTGAAAATCTCACGCTTCAAAAACTTGGCGGTCAATTCAACATACTTAAGGATGCAGGGTTTAGGGTTTAGGGTTTAGGGTGTAGGGTGTAGGGTGCAGGGCTTAGGCGGATTACTGGCTTCAGGGCTCGGGGATCATGAGGCTTTGGGGTTCAGGTGTTCAGGGTTTACGGGTTCCAGCGCCGGAGCTTGACGTTTCGTGTAGCCTGCAGCGCTGAAGCCCACCCCTAGTGCTCTTTTAGGGATTACCAGAAGGTGCCCCTACTGCGATAGCCTGCATAAGAGTCTCACGGCCCTGATGACACTTCACAAGTCTTAAGCCCCGAACTCTAAAGCATAAGACCTAAACCCTGATAGAACTGCCAAAAAGAAACCCTTCTAGAAACCGGTACAGAACTCTGAAAGAAACCCCTACCTACAAAAATGCCCGTATCTGTATGCAGACCTGGTCGAACCCGAACCAGTCCCACGCTTCTTTGAGGTATGGAACCGATAAACTATGGTCCTGCAGCCTAACCCTAACCCCTACACCCTACACCC